TTATCATACATGAAAGGTCAGAAGTTAGAAGTCAGACGAAGTTTATCCTCTCGACCATCCAGGTTGGGAGTTTGACTTGAGCTGGCGTCTTAGTTGGTAAAATGATGAAGGAATAATCGATCCAAGTGAATATGCTTCCGCTTAGCTTTCTCCGCTGCCTTGCGGCCAGGTTCTAGTCAGAACTAAAGAATATGGATGATGACCTTCATCATTCTCCTACTTGGTGGTTGGGCTCCCCAGCGGTATCCGCTCAAGAACTCCCAATGCAGGATAGTCAGGACTGCGCTGCATCGAGTGGGGTGGGTAGTGACAGATTTATCTTTAAACCCCATCCCCCCCTCACCTGTTATTCCAACCTGTATCAAGCAGCTTGTTTGCCTTTCGTCTAGGCTCGTTACAAAATAGCGTTGTAAGTAGTTTACTACTAAATCAGTTACAGATTCTGAAGCCTCGTTAATCTCTGCATCTACTGGTCTTAAACATGCGGACCGTTATGCAATTGGTTCACAAACTTGTCCGGCTCGTCCAATGGACATTCTAGGAATCGATGTCTGTCGTGCATCGGAGACATGAATTCAGGATTCCAGTACTTTAAACCACTGAAATGCGCTGGATTTGTCCTCGAGATACATCCTCCGCAAATCAGGCGACGGTGACATCTGTTTAGTAAGTCAGCGTGGGGTACGTATTGCACACAAAAATAGAGCCGAAGTTTCAGCTGTCGGTTGGATCCATATCAACAGTTTTTTCATGTGCAATGCTGCTTCATGGGTCAATCAGTGCCCGGAGGGGAAAAAATATTAAAAGTTGCATATGCACCGACCGACTGCAGTTCCCGTTCGAAAAAGACGAGTTCTACAACAAACTCACTGAACTCATTCGAGAGTTGGTGGGCAAACTAGTTAGTGAAATGAGAAGAACCGCTGCATCACGGAATAGTCAAGGATTCCAAACTGCTACACAACACCGTAAGTCGGCCAACTCAAGTTGGTGAGAAAATCTGCCATAAAGTGGACAAGCTATTCACAACAGGGAACAACGGTTGAACGGAGTATTTTAGTGAATAGTTCAATTGGCTTGGTACTACCCATTTTAGCTCACTTGTTGAAGCTGAAGCTCCGTGGGAGGTACCATGTGACCCTATGACAGAAACAAAAGCGTTGTAGTGGCTTCGGACCGACAATGCAACATGCTCGAGGGTTATCACCATCTTTGGTTTGCCTGTTCCGCATGTATACTTCCATATGGTTGCAGATAATAGTTAATTGTAACATTTACTCGTGAACTCTTCTCGTTTTCTAGCTTGGATTCCACCGGGGTAGTCAATATTCTGATATTGCTTCTTCAGCTAGCTCTTCAATCTTTGTTTGAGTGAATACCTGTCTTCGGTGGAGTTTCTTCGCTTTGAATGGTGTTTGAATTCAGTGCTACACCTGCACCTGCTAAGTATATCTCTATCAGATACTCCCGGGCTTAGTCAGGCTAAATCATCCGATGCTTTTGAGAGAACAATATATCTTCCCTTGACTAACTGGTTGTTGTTCCTGGCGTCTGCCGGAATATTGAGAATCACGGGATATTGGAGACCGCACAGCTTCCACAGGCCATAAGGTAGCATCCCATCTCTAAAGTGCGATTTTTCAATCAAGTCCTGAAGAGAAGAAAACCATCATAAACTGACAGCCTTTTCCCACTCTTTCCACAATGAGGATGATGGTCTTGTGAACTATAATACTGATTTTCTGCGTAGCATCCGGTCGCAAGAGCGCGTTCCCTCATCTTGCAGTCAACCACGGATCGTTCCAGTTTTCGATAATGGATCCCGCAAAGACTGCGCGAACTACCACGGAATCAGTTTTGTCTAAATTTTCCCCGAAGTATTATCCACCGTCCTCCTTTGATGTCTTAAATCCTTACGAGAGACACTGTAGGTGCTTCATGTTGGAGAGAACCACGTGAATGTCAGCAAATGACGTGGAGATAAGGCATTAAGAAATGCAAAGAGCTGTGAGGTAGAGTAGGTGTTTACCATCTTTCTAGTCAAGGCTGAAAATATTCTGTCAGTAGTTGGTCGTAGACACTAAAGGATGAGTCAACGAACGGACAGCAGTGGCGTTCTTGTTGTCACCATTTATCAGGACAGAATGCTTGTAAAATGCTTGTATGGATAGTCAAATTGAGTACTCTGTTTGCCGACAAGAGAGGTTTGCTTTCTTTCTCCTCCTTCCGAACCAACAAAATCAGGGGTTCAAGTATAAGAATGACCAGACAGAAGATTACCGGATACGTTTACCTGATGAGCGGCCAATCCACGAAACCGGTCGAGTGCTTCTGGGAAATTTTGTCCAGTCATTTATATACAATTCACTATAAAAGAAACATGAAAATCGACCCTAGGGTCGATTTGGCCGAGGTTAGATGCATCTAACCTACAACACCCGATACAGAATCATCACAATGACTCTTCGATACTTGTTCGTCTCAAATCCATTCGCCGAGGTGAAAATCGGATTTGCATTGCATAGACAGAATATCTAACCAACTTACATATTAATACTCACCGTATGAGTTTGGCAGCGATCGGTGAATTCCGTTCCTCTGCGTTCCGCTGTACAAGGGTAATGATGATGACGATGATGAGGATGATGATGATGATAATGATTGGGCTCAAAATTATGAAAGCTTTTATTAAGTGGTTAGCAGTTTATCGGTCTACTCGTTCACAAAAATATTAGTAACAATAATAATAATACCATTAATAACATTGTTTTCGGTTTCCTATAATTTGTTGAATATAGAGTTGCATAGTCATTATTTAGAAAGGGGTGTGTGACCAATCAAAAGCTGTCTTCGGAAATACCAAAATGGGGCTAGTGGGCCCCTGACCAGACTTTCAATTATCGACCTCCGTGTCGCCGCTGTAAAGGTGACCTTAACCAGTGGACCATCGCAAAACCCTAAAAGGACCTAATGTTCCGAAAGGGGTGATCTTTAACTAAGTGCCCACTTTCATTCTCTTCACTGGATATATTGCTCTCTCATTTTACCCCATAACGAGAAAATTTTTACCCTGCTCTCCGGTCCCCTTCAGTTTGTTTCCAAATGGAATGGCTTAATTTGTTGATTTTATTATCCGTTAGAGTTTTAACGCCTATGGTAAGTTTGGTAATATGGTTGGTTGATTTTTAATTGAATTGGATTTTTAGTTTTACAATACACTGATAAATTTCATTCATCGTGAAATCAACAAATTTTCATCAGCCCAGGTGGATGTAAGCCTATATGGTCATCAGGTAGATGATGTCTCTGCAACCTCGTAGTCTTTATCATAGCCTATTCGATTAGCCTGGGGCATCGGACGGGGCTAAAAATGTTCATTAAGAAAAATAAGCGTAGAGGTAAATTTCAATGTTCATCTGTTGCTTAATTTGCTCGTCACTTCTCTTTTGGCCTCACCATGAACGTCATCATCATCGTCGTCATCCGCAATGATAACAACAACAACAACAACAACAACAACAACAACAACAACAGCAACAACCGTGTCAATGAGATTTTACTGTGCCGTTTATTATTTTGCAACGCAATTGTGGTTGTTTGGAGAAACGGCAGCATTGCTCGTACCAGCACTGGAAGAGCCTGTCGGAATAGCAGCTTAGAGGCAGCTTGCCCTCAGGCTGAAAGCAGCTAAGTTAACACAGTGTTTCTGCTTTGTCACAATTCATTTTGTCCCCCCATCCCGCTTTCCTCTCCCCCCCCCTCCTCCTCCTCCGGACCCCAACTCCTCCTCTCCAAGGATTGACTGTTCAACCTCCCAACCGAATCCTCTGTCCCGACCCACCCGTGATGATTGCAACTCAGCCTCCGGGCGCTTTGATCGCATTGGATGTCACAAGGATCAAACCACCGAGTGGGTGGGTAGGTTATACGGACAGAGGAATCTCTCGTGACGGATGAATTCCGTCTGTGTGTGTGTGTGTGTGTGTGTTGCGCAGAGAAGTGAGAAGGCACAGGGTGTTTGTACTTGTGTGTACGACCGAATCGGTGTTCGTTTTTGCCGGGGCGTGCGTGCGTGCGTTCGTGTGGGATAGACCGGTCAGAGTGCAGGATAACCCTGTGTCTTCTTTCTTCCTAACCAGTTCATATACGTATATATAAATAACCGTGCAGGCATAATTCCTATTAGTATTAGAGGAAGTTCAAATAATATCTTGCACTTTACGTCTACAACAGGCTTGTGAACAGTCAACTGGAATTGGAATAATTTATTTCGTTGAAGGGACAAGTAAGTCGTCACCGATGCTTTTAATTGTGCTATTCAATTATTGTGATTTATACCCAAAGGCAGGAACAATGTTAAAGTTCTCAGTCAATTAACTATTGGGGAGTGTTTGTGAGGGGAGGTGATAGTTACTTTATACTGTTGTACACGATTTACACATTCCCTTCCTCTGTATCATATAATTTACAATTTACTTGTAGTCACGTAAAACTCTAACCGTCTGAGGGTTATCATATTAAAAATGCAACCATTGGATCTTTGGAAGAAAGCAGTGAAGATTCAAATTTGATGAAGAAACGAAAAGTTTGAAGTAGTTGAGTCGCCCACGATACTTGAACGACGATTTAATAATGTCGTACCCTTTGCAATTACTCATGAAACTCTTCAGAGGAAATCAGCGAACATATACATGTTTGGAAAGAGCAACATGGGTCGGATAGAGTCGGTTTTCAGGATATTGGATATAGTATGTTGGGCAGGTGTCTGCAAACCAAGAACTAGGAAAACCTTCACAATATGCATATATACAAATCAATGAAAGTTTATTTGACTTTTATTTATTCACTCTTCAACGTTCGTATGGGATCGCCTTAACTCGTCTTCGCAAAGAAAGTAGTCGAGCAGATGTCGATAGAAACAAAGCTATATTGCGCGATGTAGAGATAAAAGAAGATATCATGATCAGTACTGCTGTTTTTCTTCTGGTCATACAATCAGAATGCAACCAAATTCAACTTCAACCGGTATGCAATTGCAAGGTTCTACAACCTCCACATCCATGGGTCACGAACCGGGAGAACTGGTTGGTATGGACACGCGTCTCCCCGCGTGCCAGAGAAACACAGATTTGCTCACTCTTCTGCAATCGTTATCCAACACATCTTTGCTTCTTGGTCCAGCCATGGCTCAGTTTGTTCCGCGGTTATTGGAACCCCTGCTTGCTGGATCGGATACAGCTGCTTACGGTGCTGCGCAAAGAGACAGCATTTTGAAAACTGGGTCAACAACGGGTTCAATGGTCCAGTTATTTCAAACTTTGGCCCAGTCGTTCAATTCTACTCAGGCATCTGTGAGCACACCTGGTAGCTTTGATTATGGTCAAAGAACAGATGGAAAACCGGAGCCCGTTAATTTGTATGCTTATCCGTCGCACTGCACAACCACAACGACAACCACGATGTCAACACCGGCGGGAACGGAACAAACCAATGTTTCACCAAAACCGGAGCCCCATCGATTCCATACACCTTCGGCGCCGTTTGGCGATAACCGGTTTCGTGCACAGACTTCCCCCAATGGGAGTGCAACACTAGCGGGGGACTATGAGCAATCAGAAAAAGCCGCAATTGGTTGTGTTAATCCCGAATCCGTCAACGGTTTGTGTCCAGGGCATTCCAATGCACAAGCCCTAAAACCTGGTGCAATGAATTCGTTTCAACCAAAACCGGCTACAAATTGGTCCAAGTTGGGAGTACCACAACCAGCCACACCAACCCGGTTCACCGCCCCGGTACACGTGGATGTGGGTGGAACTCTTTACACATCATCTTTGGAAACATTGACCAAGTAAGTTCCTACAATGAGCCGCATAGTTTTGTTCAAAACAGAGTAGTCAGAAGTGCTAGGAGTAAGGTAAAACAATAGACCAATTATCACTGCATTCACCGATATCGGTACAAGGTATATCGGTTCGAGGTGCTTTCGTGTACATGTATAATAAAAAAATACATTTCAGATGTGATTTAGTTTTTCAGTTATCAAGTGTAGATCCCCATGTAAGGTAATCTGCAGGCGACAGATACGGCCTAATTCTAATTAAATTATTGACATCCAATTGTGAATAGAATCGCAAATCAGAGAACTAAGGTTTTGAATCTTTAACAACAACTTCGCACGATGCTATTCACGTTTACTTGCTTCCCGCATACAGAGACCAATGTTTTGCACCTGTGGTGGCCTTGAAGGTGAGGATATCACTTGACAGAGCGTTAGTCGAGGAAAATGAGAAACACCTATCCCATCACAATGATTGGCCAATTTCACCTCGATCGTTTTGCGATCTTAGCCTCTAAATTCACATAAACGATCTTCTCCTTTGTTTTGAGACGCTGAGATAACTCATTATGGTCTGTTTCGTGTATTGGATCGGCAGAGTAATTTTCTCGAAAGAGCGTGATCACAGAAGAAAAACCAGCTCCAGTGTCGTCCAAGACACTTGATTCTGGAACTACTTGAACTGTTGTGAGGACCCAGAAGTGAACAGATAACGTATTTCACTACATGCCACTGAGCATTGACTACTAATACTAATAAATACAGTGTACTATGCGTTATAACTGTTCACCCCTGATTAGGAAGAACACAGGTCACTGAACTCTACTTATGGCAAAACGATTTACAGGGCCAGCATTTGAACTACAGGTCAGTGAACACACCGGGTCTGCCAATGATGGCGAAATAGATAACAGGCCGACCAGTCACGTGATATCTGATGCGAGTGAGCTGCAACAGAATTTGAATTCTCATTAAATTATGTACCCCTTTCATCTTATGGCCCATTATTTCGTCCAGTTCCCATGGAATACGAAATGTGAATAAAATCCGTTATCTGCGTCTACTTGGGATTGAACGTGGGTGGAGTCCACTTCTCCTTGTAAGAACTCTACGGGATTTGAGCTCTCTCTCCCTGTTGATTTACCATTGTAAGTGGAAGCTAAGTAGTCGTGTTAACCTAGCTCGCGAGGCAGATTATTCAACCAATAGGGGGACAAGTCATTATGACTACAAACCAGCTCATTTCTACTCTTTTTAATAACTTGAATCCCGACTACATGTTTTGAGTGATAAATATACCTGCTTGTCTTGTACTGAAATTTTCACCGTTTGGAGTGAATAAAGCCCACTTTACTTGATTTACATAGACCAGCTACTATTTTCCCAAGTATCGGTCACTTTGCGTTGCTTGTAATAAAAATAAGTTGGAAATACTGGACATGGAAGTTCGGTTACTCAATCCGTGGTCGCAACCATCAGCGGTGCATCGTCATTCTACTTGTGATGGTTCCAACCTGGCGGTGCAGGGTTTCACATTTTACCACCAGATTGGTTTCACTTCAGCACTACACTGGTTATAGCACCCATTCCCAACTGTTTTGGACGATGAATGTCTTCAATCAGACAGGAATCATCAACTTCGTGATACACATCTTTTCAGTAGTGATGCTTCCGGACTCAACATGTAAGAGGCAGAATAACTGAACATGTTTCTTAATCTATTTGGATGTTGGTGGTGGTAATGATGTTAGTCAACATTCAGATTAAAGAGAGATGGATGCTATGTCATGTTTCCGCTTTAACCGGTTCGGAGGTAGGTTGGTGATATGTGGGACTCATAATCACGAAGCCCGAGTTCGGACCGTAGCAATTTCTACGAATGAGGACGATGGTAGCGATTGTCGAGAACAATCACAAAACCTTCGTCCATCCTGCCCATGCCACAAGAGTTCAACTTTTCTTTGCTCTTTCTATGTATTAGATTATTTTCAATTTACTCTTGCTCCGTCAACCCAAACAGGACCTTTGAAAACCATGCAAATTTTGTGCTCGCGGGAACTCCTTTGACACGGATCCACAAGGGTTGTGGAATCTTAATGGATGGGTAGTAACCCAAGGGAGCCAGGGCAGAATCAAAGACCATCGTCATTATGTAATTCAGATAAACATGTAGGTACACCTTGTTCGAAAGAATATTCCTTGTATGTAAAAACAGACTGTGGGAGTTAGAACTCATTCTGCTACATTTTGGAAATACTACCAGGCAAATAGAACGCAGAAGACTAACAGTGATAAAACATCAGAAGGCTTTTGGGTGACTTACTGAAATCTCAGAAGTCAAAAATGAATAGACAAATAGCTGGATAGTTCACACGAATGTTAGAGAATAGCTCACCATTTACAGATATTTGCCCCAACCGGTTCTTGGACTGAATACGTGTCTTAATAAACTGAGTTCGATCAAATATAATACTGAAAAACCCTCTTACGAACTGCAGAAGATTGTCATATCCATTTGAACACACAAGCGC